CCCTACTACATAGTTGTTTGACTAACATTTTTCTTACACAAACTTGTTAATTTTCATAGAAAATGCTGAAGTTTGTCTAGTTTCCCTGTAATTTGCATGAATTTTAAATTCTGCCTCTTTTTTCCTCTTCATTGCTGATGTTGATGTTGATGACTAAGTCAGTCTCAGTGGGAGATTGTTAGTGTTACTGCACGAATGCTAAGATCATTGTTAAAAAATCAATTCCCACACATACTTTCATTTCAATGTCATTCATGATATATTTACATTTTTGCCCACATTAATGTCTATTTTGTTTTTTCGCACACTTTTTTCTTCGAATTATACACTCACTTTAAGAAACAGGCTTCCTTATGATATATTATAGAATAAAAGATTGTAAGTTCTAATATAGCTGAACAGAAAGATGAAAAGTAACTCTATGTGGTGTTATGAAGGGAAAGAGGTTCTCTGAGACTATCTGAATCAAATATGAGCAGACAGGTTTAAAGGGATGTCTTGCTGGACTGAGAATCAGAAAGACCAAGATTGGTTTCCTATTTTCTCAGAATTTCTGCTCTCTAATTTTAATTCATCTACAAATAATGACTGATCCAACTCTTCTCCATAATATTCAATGTTTCCTCTAAGAAAAAAATAGTTATCAACCTAAATGCTTTTTTTTAAAGATTTATTGATTTATGCATATAGAACAGGGGTACAGGACAGAGGTGTGGGGAGTGAGAGGACCCACCCGAGGCAGAATGTGGAACAGAACAGGCAGAGCTGATGAAGTTCACTGCTGAGGGGAGCAGTGGGTGGTCAGGAGAGGTCTGCTGCCATGTGGGTCACCTCTGGGGTGGGGATCAAACTCAGGGTGAAGTGGCTTTAGCTTCTTAGTGCTGTGCTTTAACCTGCTGTGCCACCAGGGAGGGCCCCCTAAATGCTTTTTATTTGTCTGTAATTCTTGACTGTTGGTGGTAGTAAAAAGATACTTATTTGTAAAGGAAGTCAGGTGATTTATCTACGACAATATGCTGATTTACCTTTCCTGAGGTTCCTGTACGAATCATGTTTACGTGAACATCTTCAGAAGCCGCTTCCACTGATTCCATGTCATTTTCTCTAGTAGGCATGCTGCTTTTCTTCTCCCAGCTACCAGTTTATCTGGTGAAATAAAAGAATACAAGAGCAAATAGGCCTATATCACTCATATATCTGACACAATACCAAGTCCTCCAAACATGTGGCAAGTCCTTTGTTGCTGGAAAAGTGATAAGTTTGGGTTCAGAAGATTTGGTTTGTCATCCAGATCCTATCACTGGGTAACTGTGTGGCTTTGGAGAGGTCCTGGTTACCCTGCCAGTTCTGTCTTTGAAGTGAGGGATTGCCCTGAATTGTTCTGGATTTCTCTGCTATTACATCACTTTTTCTAGTTCTGCGTTCCCATGTCTTTCAACTGATATCAATAGCAAGTGGATGATACATTCAATAATACTCTTTGAATTTCTTAAATAAAATCTTATTGAGCTACAAATACATAATATTCTATATTTATATAGAAGCCACTCCACACCCACCACTGAAGTTATTCTGTAGGATACAGTGCCATTAAATTGTATGAAAAGTTTTTATACACACTGTAAGTAAGTAAGGCAAATGCCTTTTGTTTTTTGAATATACATTAATGATGTTTTAGCATTTGCATCACATGCATGTCTCAGAAGGGTGGTGCACCCCAACTCCACAGAGAAAGAAGATCCTATGCTCAGGACCCCTCTCCCCCACACCTCACCCTGTGCACCTCCTCATCAAGCTGTTCATTTACCATGGCACCATGAATGGGAAAATGCACATCTGTGCCCCTGAGTAGGAAATGCAGAGAAAGGCACAAACTCACCGCTATCGTACTCGTGCCAAGGATGAATAAGTAGAATGTAATCACAGGAAAAAATATTTTGAAAAATTTGAAAGTGTGCCAGGAAATATTGGCCTTCGTTCTTCAAAAATGTCAAAGTCACGAAGCACTAGAACTGAGGAACTGAATCCGTCAGATAAAGAGGCATTGAAGTAAATGCAACGTGTGATCTCTGATTTGTCATGAACAGGTGTTTTTCCTGTGTTAGAGATGACATCACTGTGACAGCGGGTGTGTTGACTGAATTGCAGCATTGTATTAGTGGTAGCTTTCTGTGTACCTGTCCGTGTTTATGTAAGAGAATGTCCTGTTTTGTTTTAGATCCCCCCACTGTCCTTTCTGCTCCACTTCTGTTCCTCCTCTCCCTCTAAACCTTGGGGATTTATTAGGGTGCGCTCATTTTTCAAAGTTTTTTAACTAACAAAACGTGTACTATGTAAGTGTTTGTTGTTTCTTTTCATCTTTTGAAAAAAAGATTTGTTGATGCATACAGAACTGGGGTACAAGCCAGAGGTGCAGGGGTGGTGAGAGGATTCACCAGATGGAGAGCGGGGAGCAGAACAGGCAGATCAACAAAGTAAACTGCTGAGGGGAGCAGCGGGTGAGACAGGAGAGGTCTGCCGTGCCATGTGAGTCAGCTCCGGGGCGGGGATCCAACTCGCGTCCGAACCCGTAGCACCACCAGGGAGGGCCCTCTTTTCATCTTTTTGATATACTGTGCTGCATATAATTCTCTTAATTCCCTCCATTATCTTGAAAATGGCTGCGTTCTATCCTTTCTTATGGGTATATAGTACTCCGTGGCTATAGAACATGTCTTCTTGACTTGAAGCTGATGGCTTCATATTCTGTGGCTATTTGTCCAAGGGTTGTGAGTCATTTAGTGATTCCGTGTTTTTAGTAAATCCATATTGATTTCCCACCAGCTCCCATTCCCACCAGCAATGGAACATGGTCATTTTTCTCTATATATACTGAGGCTTTTGATGGTGTCTCTTAACATACGCCATTCTCAGAGGCATGAGGCGGTATCTCACTGTAGTTCTAATCTGAATGTATTGCCTATGATTT